TTTTAGGGAAGACAAGGTAGAGCGTTTATTTTACAGTCTGTCCCACTAAGCTTTAGGATAAACCAGACATATACTAAGAGTGGAGCTTTAGTAAAGACACTAGCGAAAATACACTGATGATGGTAATCTCGCTACCCCTCAGTAACCTGTCAGGTGCTATTTCAGTACCAGAGGCAGCTGATGGTGAGTATGACCTCTTCCTCTGTGGTCTGGAGTGTTTTGTCTCTGTACAGTTTACAAAGCCAAGTCTAGGAGGTATGGCTCAAATGCTGGGCAAGCAGATGTCTCTGCAAAGCATTGAGCATAGCTGGCTAGGATCACATTGAAAGACCTTTGTCAGCATGTGCCTGCTGCCCTGTGCTTGGAGTCCAGCCTTTTTCTAGTGGTGGGAGATGATCAGGTTAAAAAGGCTCCTTCCTGCTTTATGAAAATGCTTTAAATCTCTCACCATCTCAGCCTGAGCCTTTACTCTGGGCAGGCTCAGCAGTGCAGCTAGAGAGGGAGGGTGGAGGTGAGTAGTCCTTCAGGCTGTTCAAGTGAAAGGAAACAGGAGGAGAATTAAAAACACAAGCTCTGCTGCTCCATCACTGCTTTTTAGTTTCTTCCCCAACTTTGCCCATGGCTCCCTGCTTGGCTCTTCACTGTTGGAAAACCTTTACTGAAGAGTGGGAAATGTGGTACAATGGAGAAGATTATGATGGAAGCAGGAGAAAGGAGGAAGCTGTAAACATGACACGTGCAAGCGAAAGAGGATTGTGTATACTGAGAAACTGGGATGTACATATGCTGCTTCCAGCCATCTGTAATGCCAGAGTCCATGTGACAATTGCCTTCCATTTCCTGTTTTCCCACCCTGATAGAAGAACACAAGACACTAAAGCTTCAGCATTTGAACGTATTAGTCCAAGAAGAATAAAAATTGATTCCCAAAGTGCAAAAAATGAGAACAAAATTTAGTTGCTGGCCTTACTTGATTTAAGCAAGAAGACTGATGCTGAAGTTGCTTGTGGAAGTAGATTGGTAGCTTATCCTGCCTTTCTGTTAAAAAGCTATCCTCTCCTTAAAGGACAAGACCTTTGGAGTCTTACCTATTTACAAGAACCAGGTCATGTCCTTGGTGTGGCATAAGGCAAAAATACGAATTTCTGATTTTTCCCATTTCATCTGCTTTGAACATAATCCTCAAAGAACCATGTTGAGACTTTAAATAGGCCTTTCAGAAGAAAAGAAATTAAGGGAAAAAAAAAAAAAGAAAAAGGCAAAGCCCAGGGTGCCTTTTAGCTAAGGAAACTCTGAGGAATTCTCTTGTGAACTGGATCCAAGTGATATTTCTACACTTCATTGGATATATATTGATAATGTCATGCTGAGTTGTACACAACCTTCCACCTTCATTTGTTGTTCTGGTCCAGCTCAGGAAGTTGCAAGTCCATAAAGCATCATCTCTGATGATCCAGTCATTTTATCCCCTGTTGTAAAAAGGGCAGGGGAGAAAAAAAGGAGGGGGCAAAGTCAAAGATGATCCAGGTTAGGGGTGATGAATATGCAAACTGGCATAGCTCTAGAAATCTCTGGGTTGGGAGGGAAGGGAGTGTGTGTGTGTGATGGCTATCCTCATCTGTAATAGCAGATTATGGTAGTGAGGCAGAAATGATCTTTCTTTAGTGGTTTTATATCAACTGCAGCATTAGCCCAGTTACAAGGAACTGGGGTTCTGACTTTGGAGAGAAGGCATGATTCTTCATGCATGAGCTTTTATTGGCTGTGCTTTGAAGTTGTAAATCTGATTTTTTCTTGGCAGTCTTAAACCAAATCTTTAACCTTGATGAACAACCAAATTTCTTCAATATAATGAACAGATACAGGCAGTCTGGGCTAGGAAGGTTGTCATCAGAAGTGAACAGGGAGGGTTTTGTCACACTGGGTTTGCTTCCGTAGTTAGTGAAGGACTCGTACACCGGTTGTAAAGCAGCCTTCCGGAATTGTGTGTCAGCAGCCCTTGTGTCCTGGATAAAGAAATCTATTTTAGATAAAGAAATCAAACTGCAAGAGAAATTTGCTGAGTGATCTGTTCATAGTCCTCTTGGTTTGCGACTTCTGAAAGGAACACGTGCTGCAGGAGCTCTGTGGTTTGGTGTGAACAGAAGTCTGCTGCGTCTTCTCTTGCAGCAAGGCTGGTGCTGAAGGCTATTGCTTCTTCAGTGCTTACCAGGCCTGGTATTCTCATTCACTAAGAAAACTAAACCTTTCGCTCGATGTGAATAGGTGGGAGAACAGGAAAGAAGAGTAACCTTCCCTTTGAGTATTTGACTTTACAGCCATGTCTCTTGGAAGACAAAAGTGATAAGGATAGGCAGAGCTTTATGTCTTCATCCACCCTGTATTTTGATCATGCAGTGTCAGCCTTTCTCATCAGCATGTTTTGGAATTGTTTTAGTTTGCATTATATTTAGACATGCATTTTCTCTCTTGTACTCAGAGAAGGACGTCTGTCACTGTTCGCTTCACTAAAGTTTCCGTGCTTATAATCTGGCGTTTCCTGCCCTCCTTGTGCATTTGTGCAATTAATATTCCACAGTATAATATGAAAAGGCTGTTATTTAAGATCTATACAGGGGAACGCATGGTAAAGCGACACTACTTGATGTATTCATCTGAGGGAAGGATGAATTCTTAAAAGCATCAGTCTGTTCCCCTGCCACATGCAATTTGAGTATTTGCAACTGTTCGAGTATTTCCAGTTTGAACTCCACCAGGGAGCTGTGATTAAAAGTCAGCTTGGTTTTAAGATGGCTGAGATGACTAATTGACTAAGATGACAGTTTAAATTTGTTTCCTTCTGTCTAGTCACTGGATGCGAGATTTAGGTTACTGTGTAACTGGTTTATGAGTTATTCCTGATATTAGCACCTTTCGAAGCGGTGTTTGTGCAGCTGCAGCAGATGGTCAGGATGAGAGCGAAGGAGATGGATCAGAGTGGAAGGCATCAAAGTGGGCACAGGCTGTGCTTGTGCTGGGATGAGATACCAGAGTGTAAATATAACTTCAGCCTAGTGTTAGAATAACTTCTGCTGAGTGTATCCAATCAGCATATACATACTATCTAAAGAATATGAAGTGATAACCTGACTTAGAGTATATATGAGTATTTTAAGGAGCTAGTAGAGATAGTGCCAAAATAATATTTGCACATTAGTGCTTAGAGTGTTCATGTTTCGTCCAGTAATTCCATGAGAGAAAAGGTATTATTTCCATCTCGCAGCTAGTGGGAGAAAGGGAGGAAGAAACATCTTGCCTATTTTGAGCTACGAATTGCTACTGGAATTTGATTGAGGTGGTGGAACATGCAGTTAAAGGTTCAGTCTTGTAGTAACACTGTTAAATGATGTAGTAAAAACCAGCTGGAGAAGTTAATCTCCTGTCATAATTGGTGTTTCATTGACTGATGGGATCTAGAGCCATCCTTACTTTGGCTTGTTAGTTGAAATCTGCCCCAGGTTTAAGGTCCAGGGAGACACCAGCAGTGGTGTGTGGTTCAGGCAAGACAAGAGGACAAGGTCTTTCTGTTGGTCTGAAATCTGAACTGTGCCATGTGTCACTGGCACCCCAGCCATGGCTCTGAAAACTTACTACTTTTTGGTAGTATTTAATAAAGAATGAATAAGTGGAGAATATTTGAGCTTCTATTCCTACCAGGAGAATGCTTTAATCTGTGAGATGTGAGGTATGTTGACACGGTTATGTCATGAAGCCTGTATTCCTCTTTCACAAATTCACTTCATAGGATTTCAGGAGATACATGAAAGTCTCAAAGGTTTCCCCTCTGCTTTCTCTTATTTCTTTGTCTTGATGTGTACCTAACAGATTTAGGCTTTAATCTGTTCAGAAGCTGGGCAGGCTCAGGGAAGGACTTGCTTTCTCCTTACTACTACCTGGATAATTGCCAACTGATATCTGTGTGAGATGTCACTCGTGTTTGTAAAGAGCTGGGTAATATACTGAAGTATTTTTTCAGTCAGCGGGTGGTAGGATGATAGGATTAATGATACTGCATCCTATCTAACACCTCTCTCTCTTTGTTTACTTAAGGCTACATGGCTTAGAGGAATTAAAAGCAGCATTTGTAGCCATGTTCACATTAGAAGCTCTGAGTGGTTCTTGTGGAGTTCCCTAAGCTTTAATCATAGATAGGCACAGTATGTGACCCTCTGATACCTAGAATATGAAATCTTTATTTTGACAGTAGCACTGCCTAAGGTAGGCGTTAGCTTTGTGCATTGAAGTATGAAAATGTGTGGTGAGTGAAGAATTTTCTTCCCAAATATTCCTGAAGTTGGCTAGAGTTCATGATGCTAGTAGGACCAGTGTGTTAGTCTAGGTAATTAGGATGCGTGATTACCAACCCTGTGATCCACATAAAAATTGGAATACCTGCTATTTTTGAAGCTGCAGATCGTATAGTAATTGAGGAAGGAAAAACAGTGAAGTGTAAATGTGACCGTAGGAGAAGGGAGTATTGTAGCAAGAGCTGTGGAATGAAGTGTAACAAACAGAACTCTGCTAATTTTACTTGCTTGTTTTTATTCACACCGTGCAATTCAACATTTCACTCAGTTTTATTTGCTGGGCTGTAAGATCCCTCATTTGTTCAGGGTTCTGTTACAATGGATATTGCAGTAAAGTCCCCAGTTTATCATGCACATAATGAACTGATTTTATTTTAACAGCTTTTTCAGGTTGATATAAATGAGAAAATAACACTTTTATTCTGCCTGCCTGAACCTGGTTAAATCTTGGTTGAACAAAAGTGGGAACTGAGTTGCCTGTTCAATTTTTACAGTATTCAAGGGGGATAGGCTTCCAGCCATTCTGTCTGACATATTTTACAACTTCAGTTGTTTGGTTTGTCAGCTCCTGTAGCTGTATATTAAGGTGTGTTCATTACAGTACTCTAACTTTGTAAGAAAAGAGTTTAATTGTTTGCTTTTCTCTTGTTTCAGAACAGAGAGCTCCAGATTATGAGAAAGTTGGATCATTGTAACATTGTCCGATTGCGTTATTTCTTCTACTCCAGTGGAGAGAAGGTAAGAATGAGAAACAAGGCAATGCCTTCTGGCAACCATCTGGGGTATAACTGAACTGTTTGTATTTCTAGAGACAGCAGTGTGAAGATAGTAAACATGATCACATGGAGAAAATGCTGCAGTGGTGCCCAGCAGATCATGTTGGAGCACATCTTTTTCAGTATGGAAGTGTGTGGTCCATGAGGAGTAGTGTTGTTAGTACAACACAACAACAGATTCTCATACACACACTGTCCTTTTTAAGTTACTGGAGCACAGCCATGCTTCATTTGCATGTTCTAGCACTACCTTTCCACATGTGCAGATGTGTTTTCTAGGATGGGCTAGATGACCTTCTGAACTTCCTCTGGTATTTTTATATGTAGTTATAAACATTTATATAAATTCTATAATAATTTCTATAAATTTTATAATTTCTCATTTTTTAAAGCAGATTACATCCTCCGTTCTCTTTAGATGGTGGTAAACATGTGCACAGTGCTGTAAAGGGCTGTATACAAGAGCTAATAGCTACTAAAAGGCTATTAACTGCTGTTACCACCAACAGAATGCAAGCAGCGACCCACCCATTTCATGGTCTTTGGAGGTAGACAGGTTGTTGGTGGCAGGTTGCTGCAGTCTTGTGCAGTGCACAAGAGGGATAATTGGAAGAGCTCTGTTGTAGTAGAATTTAATGAAACAAGCAGAAAACAACTGCCTTATCTAATGGCTTTCGGAAGCCTCCTGCAGACAGTTGGAAGTGTTAAAACTTCTCAGGACACTGAATCGGGATCCTTTGTTTAAAAGTAACTTGAGTAAAACTCTTTTGGGAATCTTTAACTTGATGTTGAGCTTGAGACTGGATTTTCTACTTTGCTGTTTCAGGTCCGCATGGCTGATTTTTGGCAACGCTAGTTTTGTTTTTAAAACTGCAGTCTTTATCCATGAACAGCAAATGTTAATTCTTCAGTGGGAAGTTGTCTTCCACATTACTTTCACCTCTTCTCTCATCATGCCTCTGCTCTGTGCCTTTGAGATTTCCACTGCTGCCCTGTTGCAAAATAGGACAAATGTGAAACAGTCCCTAGGGCAAAGGTGCATGTATCAGCACTGTAATATTGGAGTTCAGGTTGCAAGGTCTCTTTGCAGTTCAATACAAAATGACACATAATAGGCTTGCAAGAATTTCTATGAGGCTTTCCACAAGAATTTCCAAATTTTCCAATTTGAGACCCTCAGTGACATGGGTTTTTGGTGGCTTTGGCAGTCCTAGGGTAGCGGTTGGACTTCACAATCTTAAAAGTCTTTTCTAACTGAGTTGATCCTATGATTCACATAGGTGGCATCATGTGAATGTAACTGTCTGTGGATTTGGCTGAGAAAAGCTCTAGAGAGCAGCAAGTTGGTATTCTGAAGCTCATCTGGGAAGGAAGAATAATGTTTCTTCTCATGTTTTTGTCACTTTAGGAAGCAATAACATCTTTCTCTTCATATTACCCTCATAATGAAGCTGGCTTTTAGGGCAGTGGATGAAAAGGGAGAAAAGTGTAAGGTAACCAGGACAGACATGTAGGAAGCAATTGTAGATTCAGATGCTAGGTACCTAGAGCTTTATATAAACTGATTTTTGAAGCTAAGTCCAATGGGAAGAGTAGTGTAAACATCCAAATAACTATGTGGTAGCATAGTGATGAGTGGGGCTTGCACTCGTTGCCTGTCTTCATGAAGAACTTAACAGTCCACTGCCATTTAGTCTCTGTTTCTGCTAATTAACTCAAGTCTAGCAGTAATGAGAAGATTTCAGAGGTAACTGTTATACTACTGATCCCTTTAATGAAATCATTCACCGATGAACTTAATTTTGATACCAATATAGATCAAGCATTCTCTTGAATAATGATTTTCATGCTGCTGTGATCACTCCACCTGTTCCAGCTGGAGCATTCCTTGGAATTCCCCCTTATTCCCTGGTGCTTGACACCAGTGTCTCTAAGCCCAGAGAACTTTTCTTTGGCTCTTTCTTGGCCAATACCCAAGAAGCTTAAGTCTGTCTTGATTTTGGAGGTACTTCCAAGGATTTCTCCAAATCCAGTCAGACTGGTGCTCTTTGAAAGCCATGTGCCTAACAGCCACTTCATTTTAATTGCTAGGCATTTTTTTAGGCACTGGGCAACCTTAAAGCTAGCTTTATTCTAGCAAAACAGTGGATTTAATGCATGATTAGAAAACTTGACACAACAGAAAATAGCATCAGATAGAAAAAGAATTCAAAATAACACTTGCTAGTAAGACTTACTCCTTAGCTGCATCAGTTGTAGCTAGTTTGTAGACTTTTGGAGCTCCCTGTTATCTTTTCTTGGGAGCTATCTGTGGAACTGGTTGAAACGTTTGAGCT